CAGACTTGCAAGATTCTGTTAATGTAACCTTACAATAATGTAGAATTAGCTCAAGTGGCTGTGCTTCCTGTCTGGACTACCACACGAGGCTGACACCAATCTTGCAAATCTGAAAGTACATTTCTCCCCACTCCACTTTACTAATCTCATCTAAGATGAGGGAATGTGTATTCTATGTGTGTGAGCTCATACTTTGTGCCAGCTACACTCACGTAATGCCATCTGGATCCCTAGAAAAAAATTCCCTGAGTGAGACAAAGAAACTCCCTAATAAAAGCATGATTTATTCTTCTTTTCCCTTTTTGTCCATTTCCAGCAACAAGGTTCCTGCATAGTTGATATCTATATTAGTGGAAACTCACTGGTGACTACTCAACAGGAGTGCGAAGTTCAAGGTTTGTGACTGCTGTTTTCTTGATTCAGTACTGCTTGAGCACAACTTCATGGCTTTTTGTTCGCACAATTGGTTGAGTTAGTGGCCTTCCTGATATTGTTAGACTCCAAATCCTGGTAACTGATGTTGGTATCTACTGTTCAACATCAGGAAGAGCACAGACTGGCCATCTGAGGACAAGACCAATCAAAAAATATCTGTTGGGTTACATATAACTTACATATATAGTGGAACAGAATAAACCATTGCAGACCTTTGTATACACATATTGGAGACCATGATGCAATGAATAAGCACACAATGGGATCACTAACAGCAAATGCAAATTGCTACAGAACAATTAGTACCAATGCGTTTTTCAAATGGGCAAAGTTACAGGTAAAGTGTGTTCATTATTTCCATTATGAAAACAACACAGATACAGATTGTTATTCTTGAACCCTTTAGATTTTGGAATAATCTGTCTATATATTTATTTTTAACAGTTGAGGAAAAGGCTAAGTCTCCAGCTTATAAGTGCAGTGCTTGCCTCATGCCCATTCCACCTGACAGCCCAGAACTGAAGGAGCCTCTGGAAGCTATTATGAAATACTTAAACTGTTCTAAAGGTGTAAAAGTAACCAAAGCTACAAAACAGGTTTGAATTCTGCCTGTACCACCATATTGCAACTTAGATTTTTAAAAAAGTTGGTTTGGACCAAGAGAGTCACCTATTGAGTTTTCCCAACTCTGCTGGCCTTGTACAAATTTTATAGTGGAAGACCAGGGATTTTTATGTTTCAAATTTCCCTAACTTAGATGCCTTGCAGATATGTTAAAGTGTCTAGGGAACGTAGGCTGGAGGGCACCAGACTATGAAAGGCCAGCAGGCTGCAGAAACTCTGTGCTAGGGGAAAATGGCTCTAGCAAAGAACAAACATGTGGGCAGAAGATCTCAACTCCAGTAAGGGCTGGGAAAGACTCCTGTCTCAAACCTTGGATAGTCCTGACAGTCAACATCAACTATGTTGGGCTTGATGGATCAATGGTTTGACTTGATATATAGCAGCTTCTTACATGCCTCTAAGGCACCAGTAGACTATCCTTCCATGGCCTTTTCACTTGCTTGTTTTCATTAGAATCATGGAGAAGGAATGGGTCCCTGGGGGCCAATGAACCCAGCATGAGTAACCTGACAGCAAGCTAAGGTTTTTGTTCTTCATGGTTCATGCTTCCCAGCATCCAGTATAAAAGCCAGTCATTTTTTTCCTTTGAATTTCAGGTTCTGTCTGGAATTATTTACAGAATTGACTTCATAATGCAGAAAATCTATTGCTCCAAGCCTGAGTTCCAGCATCCAAATGAAGATTCTACTGCTGTAGAAGATGATGTAAGACGTTAGGATTAGTTCCAATAGGAATATTTTACTTAAGAAAACAAGAGTTCATCTTTAAAGTGCATATTTGAAGTAGAAGGTTGGTGAGAATTTGCAGTTTCAAAGCTTAAGCTATTAAACTTTGAAATCATCTTTCTGATAGGGCAATCCTATGTATGTCTAGTCAAACCTAAACCATAACTCAGTGGCTGAGTTCCACCTTAAACTATCCAAACCCATTTTAGCTTACTAAAATCCAGAGTTTGTTATTAGAAAATATAGTAAGAAAATAGTACTGGGATATAATTAAGTGAAGTCAAGTTATGCTCCACAAACCAGTTTTTCCCAACTTGGTGCTTTCCTGATAGTGAAGACATAATTCTGGTCAGCTGGAAACCCCAGGATCCCAACATGTTTGCACATCCCCACACTGGGAATGGTTTCTGAACACGTGAACACCCATACCCACATACACTGATGTGGGAGTAATAACTCAGGATTTTGTTGTTTTAATTTATACTCCCTGCCTCAACTTGTCAAATGAATTCATGTTGCCCAAAGAAACAAATCGTAGACAAAAGTCTTAGAATTGTTGAGAACATAAGTGAAACTTCAGCCTTCAGAAAAATGCACAATTTTCCAAAACAACACTCAAATTATAATTATTCTGCATCATATTTTGTGTTCATGTCAATGTTTGACAAAAGATTATTAGTCTTTTGCCCCTATATCCAAGTCGGACAACTGGGTTACAGGTCAAGATCACTACGGATCTCCACCAGAGTTTCCTCTGACTTTGCCCTGTCCAGGCATAGTTCATAACTTCTGGAGGATGTGGAGGATAAAGCAGAGTTTTATGTGATCTTTTGAGTCTTTTATTATAATTACCCCCTGTTGGAGCATAATCTCTAAAGCAAATTATGTATGAAACTTTATCTTGGACTACTCAGAGGGAAGACAGAGTAAAAGAAAGAGAAAGCCTTGTAAATTATCTGAACCCCCAGAAATAAATGTAGTTAAGGTATTGTATTGGCATCCTGAAAGTTATACCAAAATGTGTGGGCTTTAACACTCCACTTGAAGATTACAAATGAATATAAAGAAATTGGAAGGTTGTGAAATTTGTCATCTAAACTAGATAGTGTCTGAGGAATATTATAAAGAGAAAATTTGCAATTTCAGACTATGCTCTTAAAGTAATAGCTCCTTCTTTGCAGAGCTTCTGCAAGCACTTACTGAAAGCTGTTTACAAACTGACCTGATGAAGGAAAATCTCAGATACTAAAACAATAGTCCTCACTAGAGATGTTTATAAACAAAAGGGGGTATGTCCAGTAACTGAAGATGTGGATGTGTACATTAAATCTCAAAAACAGTCAAGAATTACTGACTTTTTCTCCAGGGGTATATCCCCAGTAAATTCCAATGACCAGGGCAGTGACAGAAAAGAAAATGGAAAGGAAAACAACATGCCATACAAATGGTCTTTTGGTCTTTATCACTCTCGGACAAATACCACCAACATCATAGATAAGAGGTCCTCCAATATTCCAAATATTGCTAAGGAAATATCTATTGCTGAGAGGCAGCTAAACTCTGAGACTACAGAAAAACACATGGACAATAGCATTCTCACGGTACAACCATCTTCAATAAGAACTCAATCTGTAACAACAAAGCCCCTTACCAAGGCAACTTCAACACTTTCCACCTTCCACCTTCTTCTGAGGACTAAGAAAAAGTTCCATGCAGAAGGTGGTACTTGCAACTAATGAATGCTAAGCTGGCATTTATCAACTTCCCAAAATCTAGAGGCTTCCTCTCAGATGGAATGAAGATTGCATTTGGTGTATCTACTTCAAACTTTCACCCCACTTAGACTTGTTTCAGAGGATATTTTAAAGGTGGAATACTTGTACTACAATGGTGTACAAGAGTACTGGTAACTTCTGACTCTGTTAATATGGCACAAATAGTTTATCAATTTAAATACCTCCTTCAGACAAGAGGGCTTGGAGTAACTAGATGACCAGTGATGAGTGTGTCCCCTTCTGTTTTGTTTTGGTGACAGAACCTGTTGTTCTGCCATACCTTGGCTGATGTGAAACCCGGGAAGTCAACTGTCATACATCTAATTACCTGCACAGACCAACCACCTTTTCAGGTATTCTAATCTGTCTCCATCCTTTGCCCTATCACTTTCTCCTCCTAGTGCAGGATATGATTACCAGTGTGTAAGCACAGAATTTGGTGTACTTCCCAAACAACTAGTCATCAGCGTTTGCAGATATTCAATTATAAACAGTTATGAAGATAATAAGTTAGAGGAGGTGGTGGAAAGGGGTAGAAGTTCTGAGGTAGGAATTAAATTTATCAAATGGTTTATCTCAAAAATGGTTAAAACTACAACTGCATTGCAGCCTAGCAAACTTCAGCAAGGGCAGCTGTTGTGTGCATTTGGACCACAGTTCCCATAATAAGACTACCCTCCTAGCCCTGATGAGTTGGCTTAGTCTCATAAAGAAGTCTTAGGGGCTCAGTCCTTACAGTTCTCAAAGTTCTTGAAGTGCCATATGGTCCTCATCGCCTTCCAAAAGTTCCTGGACACACTAGAGATTATGTTCTGCCCATGAGTGGCTGCTCCCTTTGTAAATATGGTTGCGTAGCAAAGTTGCTGCCAAGCTCAAGCGATGGTGCCGTTCAGCACCCAAGCTGAACTCCAAGCAGGGATCAAGCTGAATTGGGTGGTTTAACATGGCTTGTAGTCCTGGAAGCTGGATTTCAGCCCTCTTGCTAGCTGTTGAACTTGCCCAGAAGTTGCTTCCTTCCGTCTCTTCCTCTTTTCCTTTTCTCCCATTTGTCCACCCACCCTCTGGGTTGGTTTTCCCTTTTCTAGGCTAAGTTCATGGGTGGGGAGATGTGCTAACCTGACCTTCTATGGACATTGGCATGTCCTTGAAAAAAACAGGGTGTGACTAAACCAGCCAGCTTTATGGGTTGAATAGTTGGGTGTGACCAAAAACTGGCTGGGACACTGGTGTAGATGCCTGTAGGATGAGTCTATACCAGTCTGTCTGTCTGTCTGTCTGTCTGTCTGTCTCAATAGGTTGGGAGTAGGGAATTGAATGCTTTCACCATAAGTTTCCTGGTAGAGCCTTGCCAAATTCTTAAGTCTCTTTTGGGGTGGGGTGGGGGGAGTCATGAGCTGAACCTAGCTTTGGGGAGAATGAGGAGGGTGATGTTTCTGTCTCGCAGTAGCCACTCCATGTTTTCAGCACTGCTTTTCCTAAACGCAGAGGGCACTTTCAACTTCACTCCTCTCTCCTCACATACCTCCCTCCTTTTTAGCAGACTTGTTCTACCTGTTGTCATTTTAGTTTGGTCTTCTTTATATTTAATTTTAATCCCATTTTTTCACTGTGTTCTTTGACTTTTAACACTAGAGCTTGCAGATTCTTTGCATTTTCAGCTATCAGGGTAGTATCATCAGCATTGGGGGAGGTGGGCGGTTGAAAAAATTTAATAAATAAATAAATAGCGCAGATTATTAGGTTTTTTTCCTTCAGTTTTAAAACCATGCTCATCTTCTTCCAGTCCAGCTTCCCTTAATATATATTCAGCATATAGGCTGAATAAATAAGGGAAGAGTGTGCAGCCTTGTTATACTCCTTTGCCGACCTGAAGCCAGTCTCTCTTGCCATGTTCTATCCGTACTGTGGCTTCCTGACCCGTATATACGTTTCTCATGAGATTTAACCTCCCCATTTCCAACTAAGAATCCCAGGTATTTAAATTCTTGAAATCCTAGATGGCACTTAGTAGGGTTGACTGTACATCCTGCTTTCTTCAATTTGATTACTTTTTCTCAATGTCTCAAATGGTCTTCCCAATTTGAGCTGTATACCACATTATCATCTAAGTAGGCTTCACACCATTTTCCTTTGCCAGGTAATAGCTTGTCCATAAGAAATGTAGTAGAACCTCTGAAATGTAGAAGCTTCATGTAGCCCAAAAGACATTTTAGTATACTGAAATTGCCCTTGGAGTATGGCAAATGCAGGCTTTTCTCTTGAAGCCTTCTCTAATGGTATTTGTCAATACAAGTAGTCCTCAGTTAATAACCATTCATTCAGCGACTGCTCAAAATTGTGACAGTGCTGAAAAAATGGACTTATGACCTGGGCCCGAAGTTATGGCCATTGCAGCGCCCCTGTGGTCACATGATCAAAATTTGGGGGCTTAGCAGCCTGCCCACACTTACGACTATAGGGACACTGCAACTCCCCCCCCACCTATCTTCCCCCCATCTATGCCCTTTTGGCCACCCTGCACCCTGCCTTGCAGGTCAGCAAGGCTCAGCAAGAGGCAGCGTTCACTCACTCCCCACAAGCAGCAGCATTTGCTCTCACCCCACCATTCATTCACTTCCCAACTGCCTTCTCTCCCAGTTCCCCAGACCAACCTTTCTCCTTTTGCATCACACTAGTAACCCTAAAATTGGCCAGCCAGCCCATTTGCCCCCAGCCATAGACACATCATATCACCTTTCAGTCTCCCTGCTCTCACTTGGGTGTCTGGAGGCAAAAACACTCACCAGCCAATATATCTGGTAGCAATCAGGAAGAGGAACAATGCCTTTGAGTTTCTAGGGTACATCTCCCAGCTGGCCCTACTATTAGGTGGCCCTACCTAAGCTGCATCAGGTAGCCAATGCAGGAGAGGAGCAGAAAGGTGTCAGGGGAGAAAGCACTTGGAGCTGCATCATGGACCACACAGTTTTCAGGTATGTTGAAGGACTCTTGGCAGCATTAAAGAAAATGTCAGCTATCACTCTTTCAACTAAGGATTGCCAGACTGTGGACCAAAATAGGTGTAACCATTTACAAACAATAACAATTATCCACACTCTTAGAAAAACAGATCTAGAAAAAAGAAAATCCTACTCTTCCCACTTTGCTTCATCTCATCCCACAGTAGGCCTTGTCCTAAAAAGCATTAAATTCTGCCCAGGTAATGAAAAAGTTGTTCACCCAGTGCTCAGAAGGATTTTCTATGTGGAATGGGAAGGACAGGCTGGTACACTTAGGAGAACTGGCTGATCAGAAACCAAGCCTGATCAGAGATCACTCTTATATCTTATCTCTTCTAATTACTATTTTATATAATTAGTGCTTTTTAAGTGGAAAAGTGGGATAAATATGTTAATCAAATTTAAATAAATACATTGTTTGGAGAATTCTCAATAATTAAATGACCTCTCAGCTTGCTTCTAGACCTCCTGGTTTTACCCCTTTCACAAGAAAGTGACCCCTCGTCAAAAAAGAAATACAAGAGCTGAGGAAGAATTTCATCCTGCTTCCAGAAGATCCTATACTCAGGGAAATAGAAACGGACACAGACATGGGCATAAAAAACCAACACAGATTCTTTCCAAAGAAGTTGAAGCTATACAAATGGTATAGCCATTTGTCAACTCCAAGTCAATTGCTCATTTCAAAGTATTTTCTGAAAGAGGAAGTGGCCAATAGATATTTTACTATCTGAAGGTAACTGGCAGACAGTCAAACAAGAAATTTAATTCAGTCAGCTCAGCCAGCAAACGATATGCATAACTGTCTTCTGGAGTAAACCAGTGTCACTTCCATTCAAATCTGGTGAGAAAATAATTCCTTGGAAGAGAATACAGCCTTTGCATTCACCCATGGGTGAATTATGTTGTTTCACTGTAATCTAAATTAGCCAGGCCTCTTTCAGTGAAATGTTAAATGTGAGCTATTTTCCTATACCTGATTGCAATGATTATTTTGTGACAAATTTGTAGTAACTGCATATTCAGTTCATCAGTACAATTGTATTAATTAGTCCACTCTTTCTACTACTGGCATGCCGTACATTTGATTGCACACCCTTCCTTGGCTATCACAAATAAAAGACAAGTATCAAAGCACTGGAGGGCTAAACTTGCTTCATTTGAAATATCAGAAAAGTCACTGAAGGCTTAACCAAACTTATGGCCTCAGAGCCCAAATTCATGAGCAGTTAACTTCTCAAAATGAAGGTGCCCCACCATGATGTCTTGAAAACTCCAAGCTTAGACATATCCATGCATGCCCCAGCTAAGAAACCCAACTGG